TTTCTGGCTGATCAATGGTGCAATTTTGGCAGAAGAAATAATGTACCTTTCAAATCTGCCGTTAAGTTTTAGGGTTTAGAAGGTTAAAACATAAAATAAAGCTCTGTCCTCCCCTCAGTAGGTCATGTAGGATAAACAGGAATTCCAAAATATTTGCCATTAACACCTTTTTGATGAGTTTTTTTCGTTGGCACTACAACCCACCATGCACGCTGTGTTTCATAAAATTATCGTACATTTTCTTAAGTGCAATTTTCAACTGCTGAACCTTTTTGCTTGTCCGCTGCAGGATACCACTCAGTGCCAGATGCCAGCCAGACCATCACCAGCAGCCGACTCTACCATGAGTTCGCTGTGCCTCAACACCCAGGTAAGAAGCAGGCGGGATCGCAGGTAGCCATCTTTTCTAAAGCACTGAACTCTCAAAGCTTCCATTTGATCAAATTGATATGTACAAAATTAATCATAAATTTTAATGTCTTACTTAAGACAGAGAAATAAAATCTTTTTTAATAAGAGTGCTGCCACAGGAGGGAAACACTTTTCCTTTGTATCAAGTTCTTGGGCATCAACGGACAGTCACTTCACTTTAGTCAACGCTTTACTCTCATTTCCCCTCCTCCTCCCTCGCACGGTGTTTTCTGATAAAGTTTTTCTTCTGTGACATTCAGGACTCCTCCTGCACACCAGAGGCGGCATCACGGGAAAGCGGGAGCGCGAGTCGGAACGAGAAGGGTCAGGGGAGGAAGACCCAACGTCCTGCTCGGTGCACAAGATGCAGAGGCAGAGTGCAGAGGTCAGTCGTCTTCTCATCACAGCACCTGATGTCTTAAATTCTACTTAAACGTCACTATTACCAGGATTTAAATAGTTACACTTTAAAAGGCACTGAATGCTATAAATCAGCGGTCTTCAACCTTTTTTGCACCACGGACCGGTTTTAAGCAAGAAATTTTTCTACGGACCGGTCATTACGCACATAACAAATAATAATAGTTTTTTTTCTATTGAAAAGTTTCATAAATGAATAAAATTAATTTTTATTGCTTAGTATGTTTACTTTTTCTCCTGTCTCAGTATCAAGTCTCTCCCACTTTCCAAAGCAGCTCTCCTGAGACGTTTGTTTTTGACTGACGGCTTCGTTTTAGCAGCCGGGCATAAAAACAGACAGTCAAGTGACGGGAAGACGAGCTAGTCATGTTTCAAAATAAAACACCCTGCAGACTCCGCTGGAAATAAAAATAAACCAATAAAATGTTTTTATTCTATCTGTGCCGCCCAGTACCAAATGACCCACGGCCCGGTACCGGTCCGCGGCCCGGTGGTTGGGGACCACTGCTATAAATCATAAAAAAGAAAGAAAAGAAATAGGTTGAATTTTCTTTGATTTAATTTACCAAAATGGATTTAAAAAAAAAAAAACCTGGAATCAACATGTACAACATTTTTCTAAGTAGTGACTTTACATACTGTAGATATTTTACTACATTTTTCATTCATTCCCGTACTCGTCTCCAGTCTGCTCTGTGTAAACACATCCTGCAGTCCCAGAATTTACGTCAATCACTTTATTACAGTCACTAAAGTGTTTTTTCTTCTTTTTTTACAGACAATTAATTTTTTAGTGAATTTTTAAAATAGACACATAGAATTGATTTTGACGAAATATTCTGATTTTGAGCTTCGATTTGGACGCTTTTCCCAGCAAAACTGAAAGTCACCCATGATTCCAGGATTTCTTGTTATGACTTTCAAGCCTGTCGGCAGGTCCAGAGATTAAAGAGATGAGACGGCGTGCACCTTTCTGCAGAATGGTCTTGGCCTGCAAGACAAAACTTCTAGAAACATTTACAAGGACAGATAACCCTGCAGCAGTCTTTGAACATTGCATTTAACCATTTCTTTAAAACATTATTAGAATTTGCACATAGTGTTGTGGGAATGTCCTCTGCTAGCTGTTAGCCAAAAGGTCATAAAGGCCCTTCATAGACACAATGACTCAGGAACAGACAAACAGATTGTGACCAGATAGAATAAAGTGACGCACAGATTAGATCAGTGGTTTATTTCGTCTGAGCGTCAACACACAACTATCACTCATCACTCTCCTGTGTGTGTGTGTGTGTGTACATGTACATGTGTGCTTACCTAAAAACAACCGAGGAAAAAGTGTTTTGCTGTCAGCACTGTGTTGCCCTTTACACATGATGAATTATTGATGTTATTGTTGCGATAAAAAAGTTCAAGGTCTGCACTTCGCGCGTAACAAGTGAACGTAGTGGAAGTTAGACTGATGACACGATAGCACACCTTTGACGAGGCAATCGCACAATAAATGGAGGTTGTTTTGGCCATTGTGATTCTGTGCTCCCACTACAAAGTAAACACCTTCCACCATCACAGAGGGAGTCATTATGTAAATGTCAGCCTGTCATGAAGCTGCTTACAATAAAAAATACAAAGCAGATGTGTATATTCTTGACAACAAAACAATGGTGTGCCCAAGCAATGGAAAATATGAAAGGAAGAGTCCAGGAGAAAAAGAGAGGTCTATTTGAATCGCTTAATATTTTGTTTCTGCCAATACCGAGTCCCAATTTTCCTTGACAATACAGACTTTAATAATAATAGTAACTTCATCTGTATAGCACCTGTAAGAACAGCCTTCACAAGGTGCTTTGACAGTAAAACATGCAACACAAAAACAATCAAGGAAGGCAAACTGAGAGCATCGTACATGTTTAGCTACCAACATGACAAAAAACTTCTGTGAAGCTTGATGATGTTGAGCCATGTGCATGTGAAAACAAGGTGTGTCTCTTGTGCCAGTCTTCATTGTGGCTTTTGTTGTCTTGCTTGCAGACTACCTAGTGCAGGTGGAGATGCGACTGTCTGAACCCCCCCCGTTGGAGCCATCCTACGGCCAGCAGAGAGAGGAAACCCCAACGTGGCCACCTGTCCTCCGATCACACTCAGCCCCAGACATGACCAGTTCCTCCTCAAAGACACTGCATCTAGAACTGCTCTTTGTCTTTTCAGTCAGAAATTCCTTGGGGTGTAAATGCAAAGGTGAAAATGTGATTTCTTGAAGGGCTTTTACATTAGAGTCCGTTGACCTCTGGCCTCTTGCAGTTAGTGTACAGACAGGTGAGACAACCTTAGAGGAATGTTTTGAAGAAACAAAACCTCACACTTATAGCTCTACTGCAGTACTAGAATAAATCAATCAATAGATTAATAATAAAAAAAAAAAATCATTATTGTCTTAAAACTGCTGCCACCAGCCAGTAAATACTGTATAAACAGTAAAGCAGCTATAAATGTAAGTAGTAGAATTTCTTAGTTTTAAACAAAAACAAAAACAAATCCGTCAAACACCTTGTCTGCATGGTTCGGTATAAACCAAGCTCACTGTGTCAGGGTTTACAGAGAATCTTTTTCTACAACTTTGTGGTATGATTGTCCCATTGTGCTACTGTTAAACAGAAAAACACAGTCACCACTCCAGCTGATCAGTCAGTCTAACTCCAGGAATATGTTGTCACAACTGTAATAGCCTAATATATATATATGTATATATATAGCTGTAATTTTACATTGGAAACGCACTATTTATAGCCCAATCATATGTTTTAATGTTGTCAAAAACAAAAACACTTGTAAATAGTTTGATTTACACCAAAATTGTTATTTTTGAGTTGGTTTTTTTCCCAGAACTTAAATCCAATAATGAAGAAAAGGTGTTATTAATCTCAACACCGTTATCGTTACCTTGATTTTACCAGGCAGAAGCACAGGCGTGGTCATAGTGACCGCCTGGCATTTCATTTCAGGGAATTTGCTGGATCATTTCTTAGCTTCTCTCTCTCACTACATTGCCTGTAAATACACTTTCTCAGGCACTTTGACACATTTGCGACTATTCACAGTTGGTTGCATGGGAACATCTACCACAGCCTGGTTAGCATCATGTAATCACTTGGTTTGAATCGGCAGCTATAAACAGAGATTCGTAGTTTTTTTTTGGACACTATTCAAGACATCGATTATATGCATATATAGATGGATAAAAGATGTTGGACCAGTTTCCATTCTTGGTCTCTAAAACATGTTTACAGTGTGTTGCTATGAATTACTTAAGAGACCTTTTGTCAGGTCTGTCTGGCTCTAAAGAGAGAAAAGCATGTGGCATTATGGGTAGACGAGTTCTTGTGTGACTTGTAGTTTTTTTGTATGTCATTGCCTTGACAGCTGTCAGAGGTGAACATGTAGCTGAACACTTGCATCAAAAATTGGCTTTTAGGTTTTTCTTTTTTTTGGAAAACTTTTAAATCCTGATCTTTTAGGATATAACATTTTTCACTGTTCCCATCAGTCAAACATGAGCAGGCTTTGGTCTATTAAGAATGTCCTGTTTTTTTGTCGTACCATCTTCATATTAATTTCAAATATTGCGATTGTAATTATGTACAGATCGTATCTTATAGTTTTACACCTTTGTGAAATCTTTCCACAGTAGTAGTGATTTGTTGTAGAATAGATGCTAGTTTATTTTGTTTTTTTTAGTGCTCACCTCACTGCTGGTGAAGCGGCACGAAGTTTTGATTTCACCTTTCAAAAGTGAGTCACATTTTCACCTTTCTGTTTACACCACTCCCTCCATAGATTACGCCTGTACAAGTTTTTAAGAAAAAAAAAAAAAAGATAATAGCTTCGGAGTATCTCTGTGGCGTTCTGTGGTGTTGGAAAAATGTTTTTGCTGTGCAACACATTCAACTACCGAAAAAAAGAAGAAGAAGAAAAAAAAAAAAGACAACACAAGTCGTCGGGGTTCGAGGTGAGGGCAGAGAACACAGGCAGTTGGTTGCAATCTCCTCTCGGAAGGTGTCACGTTTTTCTAAGATTTCTTATAAAACCAAAAACTCGCTAAACAAAAAGGAAGAAAAAAAAAAATAGAACTAAGTTGAGTTGACACAGTAAAAGACGAGCGACAGCATCTGATCCAAATGAGCCTGATTCTGTCGAGCAAAGCAGAAACCAACATTCCTCAACGAGAAGTATACCCTCCTGATGAAGGATTTCTACTACTGTACAAGGAGTTTAACAGTATATATATGTGAAAGGCTGCTTGCGACACTTTGCGACCCGAAAAACTAAAATCCTGGGGTGACCCAATGAACGAGTGGTGAGGGCAACTTGAGCGTCAATCCCCTAGCTGTGGGATTATTTGCTGCTCGTGGTTGCCCTGTTCCCTCTCCCCAGGTTTAAGGTCTCTCTGCACAGACACTATCGAATAACGGCTTTAAAAATGGTCAAAAAAATTAATCGGACAAAACGGTGAACAGATCACGATTTGGACACTATTGATATCTTTACAAAAACATAAAAGAGGGTCACAAAATGGCTCAAACTGTCTATGGAAGGACTGTGTAACAGCATTAGAACGATGAAGCTGGTGTTTTATTTCGGCTCCATCCACCCTCCGCTATTACCTTTACTCCTGTTGAGAAGAATGCTGTCGAACTGAACCAGAGAATGTACAATCCCCCCCTTCCCCCCTGTAAAATACACCCAGCAGCTTAACTTGCTCATGTTAATACCCCCGCCCTACACACACACACACACACACAAACACAACATATGTAAACAGATGTAAAAGTTTTTTAAAAATGCTAAATGGCATTGCACATTTAAAAACCAATGGTAATTAATGCATACACACATTTATCTATGTTGCAGCACAAGACTGGTTAAATCACACACACACAATTACTTTCTTCACACACAGAACAAATCACTTAAATGCAGACCCACACACACACACACACACACACATATTGGTTAGACTGGAGAAAACTGTTTTGTGAATTCTGCTAATGGCCCCAATCTGCAACATCTATTGTGAAATCACCCAAGACAAAATAAGAAATTCAAGACAACGAAATAACCGTTTGGGTTCCCCGCTGATGGTTAAACCTGCATCCCACATTTTTAGCAGTCCAAGATACGAGTCCTGTGATCAAACATCCTGCAGATTGGGGCTGTAGATGGCGGCTTGTCGGTGCGCTCCTGATAAAAAAAAGGTCTGGTTTCAGTGGAGCCATGATGACTCGTGTCTGTGTACAGTACTTGATATTTGTTCATCTGTGATCGTACTGCCCTCGGCTTCAGGAGTAACGTAGAGGGTGGGGAGGAGGGGGACATAAAGGGGAGGGACGGGGAGATTTTTTTTTTTTTTAAGTATTGAAAATGTTTCTGTATTATATTTCTGTATGTTCTCAAGAAAATTTAAACATTGTTAGTTTTTTTTTCTCTCTCTCTTTCTTTCTTTTGTAGCTTTCATCACAATGGAAAAACAAGTTGAACCAAGTTTTTTTTCTGGCTTTTATTTCTTTATTCTTTTTTTTTGTTCTCCCTTCTTTAACATGAAGGTGAGAACAGATGCCATCTGTCATCTCTGTAATATTACGCTCTTTCTGTCTCTCCTTGTATTGTGAAAGGCTTTTCTTGTGCTTGATCAACTTCATGACAGGAATTAAAATTGTTACAACTAAACACCATTCATTGTGTCTTCATCAACAGCAGTGACATCAGTTATTACAATTTATGTCGGATTTTGAAGTTGAATCTCAATTACAATGTGTCAGACGTTATTAGTGTTTGGAATATAAATGCACAACATGCTATGCTCTGAATACATTGTCCAGTGGGGCGGCGCAGTTGGTTAGCATTGTTGCCTCGCAGCAAGAAGGTTGCCGGTTCGCGTCCCAGTGGGGGCACCGGAATCTTTCTGCGTGGAGTTTGCATGTTCTCCCCGTGCAGAGTGGGTTCTCTCCGGGTTCTCCGGCTTCCTCCCACACAGTCCAAAAACATGTTGAGGTTAATTGGTGATTCTAAATTGTGTGAATGTGAGTGTGCTTGGTTGTCTGTCTCTAAGTGTAGCCCTGTGATAGACTGGTGACCTGTCCAGGGTGTCCCCTGCCTTCGCCCTATGTCGGCTGGGATAGACTCCAGCCCCCACGACCCTAGTGAGGATAAAGCGGTATATAGATGATGGATGGACATTGTCCAGTATGAGGCTTTTTTGTTTTGTTTTTTTATCCCTTTGTGTCTGTGATAGCTGAGGCCAGAGTCATTAAGTCTTGACTTATACCCCTGTGGACACACATGGACAGCTGTGGAAATCCTCATTTTTAAAAAAATTTTTTCATCTTCTAGTCCACTTGGAGTACTCCATACTTTCAGTACTTCCATACGCATGCAGTAGATTGGCATCTACACATCCTACGCATACTGTCACGAGGTTCCGTGCAAACGGTCACATACTTGACGAGATGACGGAACATATCAGTGTCGTTTTCACAATAAATACCTTTACCTTTTTGTGAGCTAGTGTCTCTTTAACGCCTACAGATGGTTTCTGAAGAATTGACATATTTTTGGATGTGTGGCCAATCCCAATCTCCACACTGATTGACTGCATTCCCCCTGAGGCCAAATTCACTGCGCTTCTGTGTCTGCAGCAGCAACCTTTGTGGTGAAAACTGTGGTGTCTCAACAAGTCAGCAAGGCTTGTGACAACTCAGTCATCCCAGGAGGAAATGTTTTCAAAAGTGATGCAAACCTTTACCTGGGGTTCATTCCAATCTCCACATTCACAGGTTCACAGACTTCAAAGGCATTCCCCCCTAAAGCACAATCCATTGTGTCAGTATTCACATGTCTAGAAGGGTCTGCGTAAATTATGTCATCTGGCTATCGGCCTGCGAGGGCTCACGGGAAACCCTCTGTACATGCCAGACTACACAATGATGGCAGTAAAACAAATGTTTGTCATGCAGAGAGCTTAAACAAATTGTGTCACTGCTTTCCAAAGTCAGCTTTTCAGGAAGACCCACACGAGCCCTATGTGCTTGTCTGGGTTTGTTGTTCGTAGCAGAGCGACAAGTAGCTATTGAAATACAAACGGATGAGGTGCGTGTCTTTTGCCCTTGTCTCAGTCACTCAGTACACGAGGATGCAGACACCATTAAATGACTTTAAAGGCCAGTGCAATAGACAGTCTTCTACTTTTTGAATACAGTAGGGTCTAGTGGGGTTCATCATGTCACCCCAGCCACAGGAGTCTGTGTGGACATCCGTGACTTGCTTTGCTTTTTTGTATGTATGTCTTTTGCTCCACTTCTAATATTTTCTCACTCTTTGTCCTTATTCAGGCTCTCTGGCAGTTGGTACTGCTGGACGGCATGACACAGTGAGACAATGTCTGTGGGGAAACAGTCTTTGAGCAGAATACCTCTGTCTCTCTGGCAGTCCAGCAGACCAGTAGATCACAAGGCCTGGACCAAACCTTTTTCCAATAGCTCCAGAACTGTTCATTGAGGTACGTGCAATGGCTGTGGAAAAAGGCTTTTCTCTTTATTTTACTCCCTCCTCCACAAGGACAGCTGCAGGCACCACAGACCCATAGTTGTTGTTATTACACCGCTTTCTAGTGCACTTAGATGACGACACTCATGCGCAGTAGATCGGTGTCTCTGTATTCCACGCATGCACACTTCCACCCTTGTCCATGCAAACATAAATTTTGGGCTCCACAAGGGGATCCATTCAGAGCCTTACATACTTGGGAAGCTGACTAGACTTAGATTATGCAAACCTATTGCTAAAGCTGAAACCACAACTACGGCCTTGTGTTTTACAGTTTGTCTGCCATCGTATTCACATGAACGGTTTTGTCTCTTACATGCAAAATGGCACAAACTGCAATTTGCGCCCAATCTCCTCAGATTGGGATTTGCTGACTTTAGAGTGCATACCCACTGACGCTCAATACATTCTGTCCGCATTTGCTTGTCCCCCAGCAGCATTTACTAGGGATGTGTGGATCGATACTGAAATATCAATACTTCAGATACCAGATCTTTATGCTCTAAAATCAATTCTCAAATCAAAACATCGATACTTTTGATACTTCAGTCATTTGAAGTAATGTATATCATTACAAGGAGCACAGTGGAACGTAACTAAACGATTGAGATCTTGTCGAAATAACACGCAGTTAATGGGAACTACTTTCTCTTCTGCTGCAGGCAGCACCGTCCAGGTACAGAGAGAGGAAATGTGGAGCTTTAAGCGGCATTAAGCACTGTTGCCTTTGGAGTTGTTCAATTTAATAAATACGATTATGAAATAAGCAACGAAACAAATACATGCTTCAACAAATAGCTGCATGAGTTCAGCTTGGAGTAATATGTGTATCACTGAGATAATCTCACATAGGCAAAAAAAAGCCAAGATTTATTCAGGTAAGATTTCCTTAAGAATTGATCATTTAAAGTGGTTTACATAGACGAGGTGTCATTAAATTATACAAAGCAATTGCGATAAAAAAAAACAAAAGCTATGGTGAACTTAGAAAAGTATATACTAGAAAAGATGGATAAAAAATAACTTTTTATCTATAAAACATGCCTCTTATGATTTACAATCAGTCTCATTTGCTTTAACTGTTAACTTTGTTGGTGCTTGGGTGAGAAGTTTGGTCCAGAGCTCTGTATGCTCACTCAACCATCCATCCATCCATTATCTATACACCGCTTAATCCTTACTAGGGTCGCGGGGGGGCTGGAGTCTATCCCAGCTGACTTAGGGCGAAGGCAGGGGACACCCTGGACAGGTCACCAGTCTATCACAGGGCTACACTTAGAGACAGACAACCAAGCACACTCACATTCACACCTACGGACAATTTGGAATCACCAATTAACCTCAACATGTTTTTGGACTGTGTGGGAGGAAGCCGGAGAACCCGGAGAGAACCCACGCTGCACGGGGAGAACATGCAAACTCCACGCAGAAAGATCCTGGGACACGAACCGACGACCTTCTTGCTGCGAGGCAACAGTGCTACCAACTGCGCCAACTTGCAGCCCACACTTTATCTATTTAATTATTAACTGATCTGCACTTTCAAAGGTTGCATCAGTCATCACATGGGGATGAAGGAACCATCCAACTCCCAAAGTGTCATTCAAGGATTTCATCATATTTCATCATCCGTCTGGAGGACTCCTCTGCTAATGTTCACATGTATCCCAAAATAGAGAACTTAATATCTGCATTCATTCCTCATAAAGGGAGGAATGTAAACCCACACCAACCACCCACACACTGTCAGTGAAATGACAAGAGTTTTGTTCGTGAGTCAGCAAATGCAAAGCATGTAGCAGCTTGAGGCTCCAGGTCAGACAGGTTTATTTTCTAAGTATAAAGTATAACGTAACACATTAAGCTCAAGACTCAAGACGTGAAACCAGACGCATTCACAGGTTTTTAACTAGCTAAACGTCCAGCTATTTGTGCTGGTTTCAGTGTTTATTTAGAGAACTTCCTTTGTACAAAACAGTGGTGCTCCTGTAATGCAACTACGTCTTTTTTATTTCAGGGGCCTCATTTATCAACCATGCATAGAAAAGGTTCTAAATTATGTCTTACAAATGAAATTTAGAATGTGCATAAATACAAAACAAATCTGTATTCATCAAACATGCATACATGGGTCGTACGCACATCAGTGGGTCATCAGCGTTCGTACATCCCACTTGTTCTTAACCACCACGCTCGTGCATTTTCGGGATCATTTGCCTTCAGAAATGCCTCCAATTAATTAATATATAGTAACAACATGCCTCTTTATAAAACATGTGAATATATATATATTTTTTCCCTCACCGTTCATCATCTTGGCAAAGAGGGCGAAAAGAGGAACTTTTCAGAACCCGAAATTGAGATGCTTGTCAGCGAGACTGAAGCTAACCAGAAAGTATTGTTGCATCTTGTTGGGACAAGATAACCACCGGAGTTGACTCTGTTGGCTTGGAGGAGAGATCGCTAGCAGACATTTTTTTGGAAGCGGTTCGACATTGAGCTTAGTGCCAAAATTCCCATCACAGCCCATAAGAGACATGACTACAACGGGTGAAGTCATTTCCGAACGTTCACCCAGCGGAAAACCGTCATCACTTACAGATGAGATGTTTTAATAACCATACTAAGTCCATTTCCACGCTTCCTGCATGGAGAACCACAGAGCTGTTCTGCTCAATGAATGAGTCATGCATTCATCAAATGCGCATTGCTAGTTGTTTGTGCATTGACTGAATGAAACCCTTGTCTATTCACAAAATTAAATTTCTTTAGTGATCATGCTTTGGTTGTGATGTGGGTGCAGTCTATGGCTCCACTTACTTTTGGGAATCCAGCGATGGCGTGAAGTCCCCATTTGATTTCGGCTTGTTGGTGATGGCTGTAAGGGAACTGAATGTAGGCTGGGGAAATTATGGCATCCAACACTGCCGGCATGGTCCTGCTCAGTGATGGCTGGGAAATGCATATGTCTCCAACCTCATGCTGGAATGTGCCAAAAATCCCAAAGTGGACAGGAGCTGGAAGTTGTAGTTCTTTCTTCAAAATAGCCATTTTTCCCAAATGGAAGGTCCATCCATCCATTATCTATACTCGATTGATCCTCACTAGGGTCACGGGGGAGCTGGAGTCT